ACGGGCTTCAAATGAAGAAAATTATAAAAATGAAAAACCAAAGCATACTTTCACCAAATATAAGATAGAAATTTCAAGTGGCAATCAAGTGGCAATCAAGTTGTATATGCTTGGCAGCTTTTTCTGTTTCAGTGATATTCAATGTTATCTTTATCCTATATCACTGATTTTTAAAAAAGATTTATTTATTTATTTGAGGGTAGAGTTACAGGGAGGGAAGGAAAGTCAGAATGAGAGAGAAATCTTCCATGCACTAGTTCAGCCCTCAAATAGCTGCAACGGCTGGAGCTGGACCAGGCCAAAGCTAGGAGTCTAGAACTCCATCCAGGTCTCCCTTGTAGGTACAGGGGCCCAAAGACTTGAGCCATCTTCTACTGCTTTCTCAGGCATGTTAACAGGGAGCTGGATCAGAAGCAGAGCAGCTGGAACTCAATGGAATGTAGTATTGCAGGGAATGGCCTAACCTGCTGTACTACAATGCCATAATCTGTACCACATTTTTAAAAGAATACATGCATCCACCAAAAGACATTTAAGTTACTTCTATGTTTTTTTTTTTTGTGAATAGTGCTGTAATGAACATGAGCATGCAGATATCTCTTTGTAATACTGTTTCAATTCTTTCAGGTATATACCCAGAAATGGGAGTGATTTTTCAAATGGTAACTGTATTTTTAATTTTTTTGAGCAAACTCCATACTGTTATTCATAATGAATGTACTAATTTATAATTGTATCAATAATGTAGTTGGATTCTCTTTCTCCATATCCTTGTCAATATGTTTTTTTCCATAGTCATCTTAAGTAGTGGAGTCATATTTCATTGTATCTCTCTCTCTCTTTTTTTTTTTTTTTTGACAGGCAGAGTGGACAGTGAGAGAGAGAGAGAGACAGTGAGAGAGAGAGAGACAGAGAGAAAGGTCTTCCTTTGCCGTTGGTTCACCCTCCAATGGCCACCATGGCCAGCGCGCTGCGGCCGGTGCACCGCGCTGATCCGATGGCAGGAGCCAGGTGCTTTTCCTGGTCTCCCATGGGGTGCAGGGCCCAAGTACTTGAGCCATCCTCCACTGCACTCCCTGGCCACAGCAGAGAGCTGGCCTGGAAGAGGGGCAACTGAGACAGAATCCAGCGCCCCGACTGTGACTAGAACCCAGTGTGCTGGTGCCGCAAGGTGGAGGATTAGTCTAGTGAGCCGCGGCGCCGGCCCATTGTATCTCTTTTCTGCATTTTTCTGATGATTATAGTGGAAATTACTCAAAATAAAAAGAATCATTTGTTTGAACCCTAACCAAATGGAGTGGGGAGTGCACCTAGGAAAGTGGCTCTTGGGTAAGTGTTGTGGCACAGTGGCTTAAGCCACTGCTTGAGATGCATGCATCTCAATGAGATTGCAAAGGACTGAGTTCCTTCAACTCAGCTTCCTGCTAATGCAACTGGGAGACAGCAGATGATGGCCCAAGTACTTGAGTTTCTGCCAACTGTGTGAGAGACCAGGATAGTTTCTGGTAACTGGTTCAGCTCTTGTGGAGTGAACCTGAACCAGTGGATGGGAGATTCTCTCTCTCTCTCTCTCTCTCTCTCTCTCTCCGTGTCTTTTAAATAAACAAGATAAAAAATAAACTTGTAAGTGAAAAAGAAGAGGCTGTTATGGGTGCATTCCTGAAATATCTGCAGGTTTCCCTCCTCCAGAATTTATCAGAGGAAATTCCTCTGGCACCCAGTATTTCAGATGAGCCCCTGGCATGAGGACAGTTGCCTATCAATAAACATCTCCATCAATGAATACATGTCAACTCCTGTACTGAGTTCCATTCCTCAATCATCTTTGTTCAACGCAGTTTGCATGTACAGAGAAGTCTGTTGTTAGAGGGTGCTGTTGTCCAGATTTCCTCAGATGTTCCTATGCATTTGATAACATGCCCATCCCAGATTGCAACACTTCTGGTATTTCCAAATAAAATCTCTTGTTCTTGAGAGTCTCCCTGAGTATATGAATACATTTTATCATCAATATTGTGTATTGGAAAACCAATGTTTTTCTCCAGATTCAGAGTCCAGAGTGCTCACCATTCTAACATAGTCCACTCCAACTGTTTTTCCTTGTGCTTACACTCAACACAGAATGTTTCTGTGAGGTGTCTGTGCTATTTTTCCAATAAACAATTCTCTAACATCAGCTGGGTATCTTGCAGTTTAAGTCCATTCTGACACTGTGTACCTGGAGATCTCAAACATTGAAGGCTCAATTCTGCAAGACTGACCCAACCTCAGACACAAGTGCAGTCCAGGTGGTTAACTGACTGAATGGCTGTGAATCAGTTTCCAAAATTTCCTCCTCATGTTCCACCATTTGCCAGAGTGGCTCATGGCACTCAGGAAAGCCCTTTATCTGTTAGTGCATGTTTGTTATACTGGGACAAAACTCAGGAACAGCGGATGGAGGCAATGCTTACGGCGAGGTTCTGAAGGGTCCCAAGTGGGGCACCAGATCCAAAGCTCAAGTATTTCTGCAACATTCCTGGGAAAATTGGTGTTCACCGTAGGTCCTCTTCAGTCTGTGCCCTCCTGACTTCAGTGTTTTCAGATAGTCACTGTATTTTACATGCCAGAATTTTAATACTAATTAAAATGGGAGATAAGTGTAAAGTTACCATAAAACAAAAACTATATACTACAGGATATTTTAATGCTATTTTATTAAATTCTGTTACTGCCAATGAAGGGATGGCACAATTATACATCTTACAGAGTTTCACATTATTCACAGACTTCATAGACTGAAGTAGTACATTATTTTTACTGAGTTATTTTGCTTGCAATACTTTATAGATATAAAGGGTCTTTGCATAAACTCTTATATTCCAGTTATACAGATAAAACTTTTAGTAACAGTGTCAGTCAGGGTATCAGTTAGTGCCATTGTGGAAGTGTATAATAGGCCATTGTGCTGGAGAATCCATACTACAGATGTAGAGAAGCAAAAATAAAGAGAGTAAAGAGTAATTACTGGATAGACAGATATAGTAATGTTATGGCTAAAGTTGAGAAGAGTATAAGACTGGAATTGCATAGTCAAATCTTCCATAATGTATCCACTAATATCTGAAAGGCAGGCATTTGACAAGATTGAGGAATGGTGTAGGACAGGACTGTAGCTGGTTTTAGTGTCATCTCTCATTGTATATTTGACTCTCTGTATTTTCACCTGTGTTTTAAGCCTACTCTGATAGGAATGATGAGTTGCCCGAGTCAGTTCTGGCCTTCCTGCAGTTATATTGATACCGTGGAAGCACTAGAACTGAATTATGGATGAATGCTGCATCTTCATTGTGTTGTCATTTTCTTCTCTGTGTTTTTCATTTTCAGAAATGCTATGTTTAAAGTTTTCATTTAAAGAGGACAAGCCACCATTCAAGGATCAACTAAATCTTACCTTAAAGAACATTTCCCTTCTTTGTAGACCTTAAATGATTTTGATACCTCTGATATAACTGGGTAAACTGTGAGAATAGAGTTTGATTATCTCTAAGGTATGATTGTACAACTGAAATGTATAGCCTTTGAAACCATACAGATTTGAGTAGAAATCCTGGCTTCCATTTTTCTCTGCTCAGCTTTGTAAAACTTACTTTACACAAATCCCCTTGGTGTTGGTTATCCTACTTGTGTAACATAAATAAAAATAAAAGCATTCTCTTGAAATATAATTCTCTGTATAGATAAAACACCTAGCACAATGTTTTACATATGTGTACATCAAAAATGACTAGCATTACTCCTCTCATTCTAACAGTCTTTGGGTTGTTCACACTTGAAACAGCTCTGTCCAACCTAATTCTCCAAAAATCTCATATCTCTAGTATAATCACCCAAATTGGCAATGTTTTCTTCTCCTACATTTAGGGTGTTATTTATTATCTTTTATGTTATCAACTGGTCATTTTACCGACTGTCTCTTCCCTTCTCTGATTTATCCTCTGATTTAGTATTTAAAAATGAATTATGAGGATGAAAGAATTCCTATATATGATGAAAAAGAGGAGAAATAAAGAAGTAGAAATGAAATTTACTCATAATCTAAATTCTTTAGTAAGACATTCTAGATTCTATAATGATTATAGAGTAGTTTAGGGCCATTCATTCATTTTTCTGAACATAGTACAATTCCTCCCACTTACTTGGCTAACTTATTTAATAGAAATTTGACTTATCTGTTATCATCTTGTAGTGTGGAAATTACTTTATATTTTTTATGATCACTCTGTTTAAATACTTGTTTAATCAAGAGACCAAAACTTTGCTATTGATTCAGAAACAGCTTGAATCTTGGCTTATATGATAAGATCTCTTAGATTTCTATAGCTTGATTGGTAAGAAACTGGAACACCTATTTTATATTAGATATTTAACATAACTTTCCCCCTTAGCCCTCAGAAAATTCTAAAATTTAGCTATTTTTAATCTTGTTGAAAACCAAGTAAGATAATGTTTGCACAAAATTGTATTTTGTGGACTCAAGGTTGGACCAGTCCTAGGGCCAACTGATTTGAAATCCATGTATGTCTACCACTCAGAACAGCCTTAGTTATGTATGACTTTGAGGGTGAAAATAAAGATAATGATACTTTCTAAGTAACCTTAAGTCAGTCACTTTTCCCCCTTGTAAATGTATCATAGTTTTGTAAAAGATGTGGTTTCTTCTCTTTAGCAGGTTGAAGACTTTTTAATTGTATATATCTGGCATTTTTCTTTTCAGTGATCTTTAGTGTATATTATATATTTAATAAAATTATTACATAAATTTAAAAAAATCAAGTATAAAATAAATAGCATATCAATAACTTTTTCCATACCTCAGGCAAAGTAGTTATATTTTGGATATTCTAGACATCACCTTGTCCAGTTTTTTCATTTGTGGATGAAGAGTTTGTAACAGAGACATTAACACAAGTCACTGGACCAAATAGAGGTACGATTTAGTGGCTGAGATAAAACTCAGTCATTCTGACTTATACTTGAACTCGTTTCTCTACTCATTTAAATATACGGTTGATTCTTGCCTTCTTTGCTGGCGAAGTAAGAGACTTACAGCTCAGGTTATGGGGGTTGGCCACCTGCTGGATGATCTCCAGGGACTTGGCACAACAGCCTTCCCAGGGCCCGCTTCACCTCTTTGTTCCTTAGCGTGTAAATGAAAGGGTTGAGCATTGGAGTGATGATTGTGTAGAAGACAGCAGGAGCCCCAGCTCCTGCCCCACCAGAGCTTGGCTGCAGGTAGATACAGACAGGGGGCACGTAGTAGAGCAGCACCACTGTGAGGTGGGCAGTGCAGGTGGAGAAGGCCCGCTGCCGGCCCTCTGCTGTGTGGATGCACAGCACAGCTGCCATGATGAAGACGTACAATATGACAATGAAGATCAGGCAGCCAGCAGCCACAATGCCAATGTTGGCAAGCATGACAAGCTCATTGGTGGTGGTGTCTGCACAGGCCAGCTTCAACACCGGGGGGATATCACAAAAGAAGTAAGCAATGTGGTGAGGACCACAGTAGAGCAGGTGGAAAGTCAGAGAGGTATGAATTGCAGAGTGTGTGGCCCCTATGGCCCAAGTGATGCCAGCCAGCCTGGCACACACCTGCCTGTTCATGGCCACTGGGTAGTGCAGGGGCTGGCAAATAGCCAGGTAACGGTCATAGGCCATGACTGTATACAGGAAGCACTCAGTGCTGGCCAGGAAGTGGAAGCAGTACAGCTGCATGGCACAGCCCTCAAAGGAGATCACCTTTCCATCCAGAGTCAGCAAGCCTGCCATGACCTTGGGCACTGTCACTGTAGACAAACACGCATCCAGGAAGGAGAGGTGCCCCAGGAAGTGGTACATGGGAGACTGCAGGTAAGTGTCAGAGCCCACAATGATGAGAATAAGGAGATTTCCAGTTACTGTGATGGTATAGATGAGGAGGAAGAGGAGAAAAAAGAGGCTGGGATGGTCAGCAGTGTACATCAGACCTTCGAGGTAAAAGTAGCTGACCATGGTCTGGTTGGAATACTCTGTCTCCATGCCAATTATTGATTACTAATCCCCTTTGCAGCTAAACTGACTTCAGCAGAGAGAATAAACAGCTGCTTCCTTTTCCTGAAATAAGATTATCCATTGGGCCATGCCATCTTGGTCTTGCCCCTCAAGTGATTCACAGTTTTGGTCAGTTTTCATGTTTTCTTGCTGCCTGTTTCTTGATGATGAAATTTACAAAATGAGATCCACAGTTTCTCTGAGGCACATTAAGAATTATTAGCAGAAATGCACTTTGTAAATAATGGAATGTATACATGCATGGTAATCCCTGCTTGCTTTGCGTTTATATTTATTGCCTATATTCCAACTTTGTGATGTCTCTGTCCTCCTCATTAAGTCTGTCATGTGCAGATGTCACAGGCACATTATCATTGCTGTGTGTCATCAGGGAGTTGCAGTCCAACTTGGAGCATCTTGGTTAATGTTTTGGTGCTGTTACATCAGCCAGGAACAAAACAGCTCCCCCACCCCCACTTCCCTCACCCAGAGGGAGTTCTTTGGAATTTCAATTCCCCACAACCCTCAAGTGTCTGACAGTGAAGCCCTGAAGAATAGACTGAACAATTAACAGGACAATTTGTTTAGTGTATTTATGCTCTTCCTGTAAAGCTTTGTTCAAACTTTTGGGAATTGTTTATAGGTGCCTTTCTCATTGAGCTTTTCTCTTGGGCCATATTGAAATGCGAGATCTCCCTGGGTTTTCATATCCTTTATCTCCTAAACCTAATTAGATATTGAATTACATGAAACTTTTCTTTCAACTCCTTTCTTTCTGTTGGATCTTGCTTCTGCATGCTTTATATTTAGACTTTCACAAGCCATTTTATATCCCATCTCTTACAGGGCTACTGACAATATTTCAATTTCACTATTTTCTCAGCATCTTTCTTTTTAAGCTTCCAGGACATAGTGAGGAACTTGCATTGCATTTATTCATTAAGTCTCCTTCATCTCCCATCCATGACTCTCCTTTATTCTTTCCTAATTGCTCATAACTCCTTTTATTACACACTAGTCAATAATTTTGTATAATATTTCTAAATTTGGGTGTGCATGACTTTCTTTCTTGAGTAGACCAAAAAGATGTGCTTTTTAGTAACATTATCAGAAAATCAATGTTGTACACTGTTCAAGGCACCATATTAGTGAATGCATGATGCCAGTATTTCTTCATACAGGGTATGACAAAAGTTTCGGGGGAAACACAATTTCAATCTGTGGTATATTATGTATCTCGTAATTTTCCCATAAATTTTATGATTTTGTATCTTATTATTGTATCTTGCCTATGAATGCTATAATTTTGAGATTTTGTCTTGTGGATATTTTTTTTTTGAAAATAGACATAAAGGATCAGTTTATTTTGAGGCAAAAAATCACACAATCCATGCATATTTTTTCAAACTGTGTATTTTCTTTTTTTAATCTGCTTTCAAAATTTTTATTAATATAAAGAACACAGAATTCATGTAGTTCAAAGATAAAATTCTAAGAATATAATAATACTTCCCATACTTCCTCCCTCCCTTTTGCGATCCCCCCTCCTTCCTTTTTTGAATCTTAGTTTTTGCAGTAAGATAATTCCAATTTGCTTTATAATAGCAGGCTTGGTGTACTATTAACCACAATGTTCAACAAGTAAAAAGTAGAAAGAGCACTTTTCTACAGGAATATAGGCAAGTGCTAAAAATAATAATGAAATTGTAAGATGTCAGTTTCATTCTTGCACTTTTTTGTATTCTACATTAACTACCATATATCAGAGAAAACATGATATTTGTCTTTTTGGGTCTGGCTAATATAACTATGCATAAAGGTCTCCAGTTGTGTCCATTTTGTTGCAAAAGATGATTTCATTCATTTTTATGATTGAATACTATTCCATTGTGTTTACATATCCAGTCATCAGCTGATGGACATCTGGGTTGATTCTATATCTTAGCTATTGTGTTGAGAAGCAATAAACAAGGGGGCACAAATAATTCTTTCATATGTTGATTTTAAATTGTTTGGGTAAATTCCCAGGAGAGGGGTGACTAGGTCATGTGGTATATCTATTTTCAGATTTCTGGGAAATCTCCAGCTATGCCATCAACCAAATTCATCTAATTGTTATCTACAGTACATTTCATTTCACAGTTGAATACACATTATTTTCATCAGTGCCTGGAACACTCTCTAAGATATACCATTTTCTGGGCCATAAAGCAAATTTTAACAAGTCCCCCCAAAATTGAAATCATATAATGTGTATTTTCTGACAAGTGAATGATGTTGGAAATTAATTAAATTAAAAACTCTAGAAAATATACAAACACAAGGAGGCTGAATAACACACTTCTGAATGAAGAATGCATCATAGAAGAGGGAAAATTTAAAAAAATGAAGATGACACAACATATTAAAACTTAAGGGGTACAGCAAAATCATTGGTAAGAGGAAAGTTTATAGCAATTATTATCAACATCAAGAAATTGGAAATATAGCAAATAAATTATCCAACAGTGTATCTCAACAACCTAGAAAAAAAGAAGAAATCAAGCCTAAAATTAGCAGAAGAAAGTAATAATACAAATTAGAAAAATAAATAAAAAAACTGAAACAATAAAAAAACATACAAAGAACAGTGAAATTAAGACTTTAAAAAAATAAACAAAATTGAACACCACTGGCCCAACTAACCAAAAAAAAATTAAAAAGACCCAATTGAATAAAATCAGAGATGAAAAAGAAAGGAGATGTTACAATAGGATACCACAAAAATAAAAAGAATCATCAAGAATTACAACAAGTAGCTTTATGCCAACAAGTTGGAAAATCTAGAAGAAAAGAATGTATTTCTGCACACATACATCCTACCAAAATTGAGTCATGAAGACACAGAAAATCTAAATAGACTAATAACCAAGACAGAGATTAAGTCAGTAATAAAGATCTTTCCAACAAATAAAATATCAGGACCATATGGCTTCACTGCTGAATTCCACTAAACTTTTAAAGAACTAATTTCAAACCCCTTCAATCTATTCAAAGCAATTGGAAGTGAGAAAATCCTTCCAAATTCTTTTTATGATGGCAGCATTACCTAAATTCCAAAACCAGAAAAAGACACAACAAGAAAAGAGAAATATAGACCTATATCTCTGATGAACATTGATGTAAAAATCCTCAGATACTAGCTAACTGAATCCAACGACACTTTAAAAGACCATCTACCTGGACCAAGTGGAATTTATACCAGAGAACCAGTGGGTTAAAGTGGCCTGAAGCTCAGGCATCCCATATGGGCGCTGGTTCTAGTCCTGGCTGCTCCTCTTCCAATCCAGCTCTCTGCTATGGCCTGGGAAAGCAGTGGAAGATGACCCAAGTCCTCGGGCCCCTGAACCTACGTGGGAAACTTGGAGGAAGCTCCTGGTTCCTGGCTTTGGATCGGCGCAGCTCTGGCCATTGCAGCCATCTGGGGAGTGAACCATCAGATGAAAGACCTCTTTCTCTGTCTCTACCTCTCTCTGTCTTTCAAATAAATAAAATAAATCTTTAAAAAAATAAAATAAAAATGTAAAAAGCCCCTTTTTCTAATATTAATATGCTTCAAATACTTACTTTGAGCCATTCTGTTATGCAACTTAAAAATTCCTATTTATTTAAAAAATGCTTATTTAGTGTGTGTGCAATTTTTAAGAAATCTATTGTGGGACTGGCATGTGACATAGCAGATAAAGCCACGTCCTATGGTGCTGGTGTCCCATATGGGTGTCATTTTGAGTCTTGGCTGCTCCACTTCCAATCCCGTTCCCTGATAATGTGCCTGGGAAAGCAGTGGAAGATGATCCAAGTCCATGGGCCCCTGCACCCACGTGGGAGACTCAGAAGAATCTTCTGGCTGCTGGCTTTGGACAAACTTAGCGCCACCCATTGCTGCTATTTGGGGAGAGAACCAGTGGATGGAAGACCTCTCTCTTTCTCTCCCTTTCTCTCTCTCTCTCTCTCTCTCTCTCTCTCTCTCTCTCTCTCTCTCTATCTCTATCTCCTTCTCTCTCTTTGTAACTCTGCCTTTCAAATAAGTAAATAAATCTATATAAAAATAAGTATATTGTGAAACACTATGTTGTTCTTGGTTTTTTGAATGAACCCTGATCCATTTAAGAAATCATATAAAATAAACATCAAGTGTTTTGTTGCTATTAGTATGTTTTCCCATTGCAGAGCATGATTTCCAGTTTTTCATGATACTGAATTTAAACATTTGGGGTTTTACTTACAGAGAATTCCAAGTATAAAGAAAGAAGATGAAAGGGACTTAAGACTAACTTCTAATCACGTCACAAGAAGCTCTTTATTCTGAGTCATCCCTGATGGGAACACATACATACATAGAGTAGGAGTTAGAGGAGTATGTGATTTACAGACTAGGGCCTTGGTTTCCAGTTCCAAAGTGGATCCTTTGCTTAGGAGGGTAAGCCACACCTTTCATTTCTACTAGGGAGTTTAAAAGTCGTTTTCTTTCATTCTTCTCTCTTCTCTTCTCTTCTTTTCTCTTCTCTTCTCTTCTCTTCTCTTCTCTTCTCTTCTCTTCTCTTCTCTTCTCTTCTCTTCTCTTCTCTTCTCTTCTCTTCTCTTCTCTTCTTCATCTTAGATCTCCCTTTCTTCTCTACTTCATTTTCTATTTGATGGAGACATGGTAAGGGGTAGTGAAACTTCTTGAAAAAAGCACTATCTTAAGGCAGGAGAGAAAAATATTCAAACAGTAATGGCCTAGTTTTTAAAAAATATTTATTTAGAAGCCAGCATTGTAGTATAGCAGGTAAAGTTGCCTGTGACTCTGGCATTCCATGTGGGTTACCAGTTCATGTCCTGGTTGCTCTACTTCTGATCCGTTCCCTGCTGGTTGCCTGGGAGAGCAGTAGAAGATGGATCAAGTGTTTGGCCCCCTGCACTCAGGTGGAAGACCCAGATGAAACTTCTGTTTCCTTGCTTCAGCCTGGTACAACCCTGGCTATTGTGGCCATCTGGGGAGTGAACCAGAGGATGGACTGTGTCTCTCTCCATCTCTGGAACTTTGACTTTCAGATAGTTTTTTTTTTTTTTTTTTTTTTTTTTTTTTTTTTTACGGAACATGACTGTGAGAGCTAGGCCAACAAAGTGTTTCAACAATACTTTGAATCTGAAGTAAGGGACAATAAAAACTCATATAAGAGGTATTCATTCAGATTCATTGTTAGGGATTTTCACTTGGTTTTCTACTGCTTTGCTAATATAAGCCATGCATCAAATCAAACACTTGAATAAATATTTCTATGTATTGGCCTTTTTATTTTAATAGAATAGATGTTTAGAAGGGAGTAACTGGATCTCAGTATCTGTATTATAAGCCTCATTAATTATTTTCATATTACTTTCTCAAAAAACTGCTATAACTCATTTTTTTGTTTTTAGACAATATATTTATTTTCAAATCTCAAATAACATTAGGAGAAATGTGGCTTTTATGTTTACTGAATGGTGCATGGGTTAAAAGGGGTTTCTAAAATATTCCACCATCATCCGAACTCTACAACAGACAAACATCAAAGTTCTTTTAACAAGAGCACTGCCTTATTCCCTTCACCTTCCCCTCAAAATAGCTATGTTCATAAAGAACACAACTTTACAGTGTAAGTAACAAAGAAATGCCACATAATAAAATTCAATGGCAATAATATTTCCATGAGGACAGGAGTTAGCAGGCTGAACAGCATTCATTAACCCTACCTCTTAACAGCTCCCTTTACTAGTAAGGAGTTTCAATTCCTCTATGCTGTTTCCTTTATTTTCATTATCTTTCTCAAAAAAAAAAAACTGCTATAACTCTTCATATATGTACCCAACAATATAAGGTAACACTTCATTCATTCATATCAGCAATAAATGGCTTTTAATAGTATTTTTCTTGAGTATGAATTGGCAGCTTGTTACATTATTTTGCATCTCACTGACTAATAATGAGTTAAAGCATTCTTGCTGGTTCAAGTCCCGGCTTCTCCTCTTCCAATCCAGCTCTCTGCTGTGGCCTGGGAAAGCAGTGGAAGATGGCCCAAGTCCTTGGGCCCATGAACCCATGTGGCAAACCTGAAAGAAGCTCCTGGCTCCTGGCTTTGGGTCATCACAGCTCTGGCCATTGTGGCCATCTGGGGAGTGAACCAACGGATGGAAGACCTCTCTCTCTCTCTTACTCTGCTTCTGCATCTCTGTAACTCTGACCTTCAAGTAAATAAATAAATCTTTTAAAAAACCACATTCTTTCAAGGCTATTTGGATGTGCTCTCTTGATCCATATTCTTTTTTTCAAAAAAATTTGAGAGGTAAATTATAGACAGAGAGCGGGAGAGACAGAGAGAAAGGTCTTCTGTCCGTTGGTTCACTACCCAAATGGCTGCAATGGCTGGAGCTCGGCCAATCCAACACCAGGATCCAGGAACTTCTTCTGGGTCTCCCATGGGTGTATAGGGGACCAAGCACTTGAGCCATCTTTCAATGCTTTCCCAGGCCATAAACAGAGAGCTGGATCAGAATAGGAGCAACTGGGACATGAACTGGTGCTCATATGGAAAGCTGGCATGTATACAATTTCCCAAGACTTTAAAACTCCGTAGAAACAAAAATATTTAAACAAAGACAAATTTCAAATCATATTTTACATTATGATAAAACAATGCATTAGTAGTCTTGACTTACATATATCAAAAAGGAAATGAATGTTAACTCAAAGGAAAGAAAATGCATAAATTCTTGAAAAGCTGATTCACAAAATAAGACACACTTATGAAATATGAGTGCTGACTAATAAAGGCAATTAAAATTATGTGAGAGGAGTGGGTAAAGTGGCCCAGCAGGTTAAGCCACCATTTGGAACACCTGCATCCCATTAAAGGGTATGTGTTTGAATTCCAGCTCCTGTTTTCAATCCAGCTTCCTGCTAATGAGATCTTGGTGAGACAGCAGATGATGGCTGAACCCCTGGCACACACATGGGTGACTTAGATGGAATTCCAACATCAACTTTGGGCTGGCACTTTTCTGACAGTTGAGAATCAAGCAACAGATGCAGAAATCTCTTCTCCCACCATACCACTTGTCAAATAAATTGAAAAGAAATAAAACCCATTTAAAAATAAAATTATGATTCTTAGGTGTTTAAATTTAACTGAAAAGTGATCCCTGTTAAATATACACTCCGGCAAAAACACACACACACACACACACACACACACACACACACAGAAAAACAAAAACAAAAACAAAACCATCTAAATGAAAGATCTCTGCGAGTGAGATCCCAGTGGAAAGAACAGGGCCATCAAAGAAGGAGGTACCTTTCTCTGAAGGTACAGTAATGGCCTTTGGACAAACTTAGCACCTTTGGACAAACTTAGCGCCACCCATTGCTGCTATTTGGGGAGAGAAGCGGTGGATGGAAGACCTCTCTCTCTCTCTCTCTCTTTCTATCTCTATCTCTTTGACTATGACCACTTTGACTATGACCCTGTTGGAATAAGATCAAAGTCAGCGAACTCAAAAGGCTTCCATAGCCTTGGCAACTCATGACTAGAGCCTAGGGAGATTACTGACGCCATAAACAAGAGTGTCAAATTGTTAAGTCAACAACAAGAGTCACTGTGTACTTACTCCTCATGTGGGATCTCTGTCCTTAATGTGTTGTCCAATGTGAAGTAATGCTATGACTAGTACTGAAACAGTATTTTACACTGTGTGTTTCTGTGTGGGTGCAAACTGATGAAATCTTTACTTAATATATACTAAACCAATCTTCTGTATATAAAGATAATTGAAAATGAATCTTGATGTGAATGGAATGGGAGAGGGAGTGGGAGATGGGAGGGGTGCAAGTGGGAGGGAAGTTATGGGGGGGAAAAGCCATTGTAATCCATAAGCTGTACTTTGGAAATTTATATTTACTAAATAAAAGTTAAAAAAAAATAAAAATAAAAACCAATGGACACGGAGGGAAAAAAAAAAAAAAGAACTTGCCCTGCAAGCACTAGCATATATCCATGGGCAGGGAACTGCACACTCAGAGTAAAGCCAGCTTTTAACTAATTGTTTCAGCTTACCTCAGTTTCGCTTTCATGACCTTTCTAATGGAAGAAGGACTGATACACAATAAAATCATCAAGTGGACATGAAGAAAGCAGTACAGAACTCAATTTCATACAAATGCTCATCTCCTGAATAATTAAATATTGGCTGAGATTAGAAGCAAAGACAAGTAAATACTTTGGAAAATTTTTAGTAAATGTTTAATTTGATTATTTTTAAAATAAATTCATTTATCTATATAAAAATAAAATTATAAGAGCAATAAAATTTAATTATTATTTATACAGTTGTGAAATACCTGTAGGTATTTCTTTGGGAATAAGCCACTCTAAAATTCTAGACAACAACAACAATATTTGGGAGTTGTTTTCCCCTTAGGTATAAATAATAGTCCTCAAAAGACATCAGCTACCCCAGGAGTGTTCAGTTAAGAAATGCATGGACAAACATGCCACATTCAGGGGAAACCTTTCATTGGTCTCTTCGTGCTGTTTTTTTGTGCTCATCCAGGGAACCTGAAAACTCAAGAGCAGCCTCTTCCCTGGAGACATCAAGTCAAGTTAAGCTCCTACTCATCCAGTCATCTTAGTTTTTATTGCCTGTACTTCACCGGGGTTGGTTCTTGAATAGAAGTGAATTACTCTTCCTCAACAGAGTGTATCTGTTCCTCAAGTGACATCTTGGGAACTAATACCTGCACATAGCAGATAGAATGAAAAATATTGTGTAGAAATGTCAGACAAGTTTTACTGTTGAAATTCAGTATATACTGTAAGGTAAGTTATAAGAAAGGAAGATATAGCTTATAGTTCAATGTTTTCCTTCCTTCCTTTATCTTAAACTTCCTTGCAGAGAAATGTTACTTGGATCTCATCCTAATATCTGTTATGTAATCTCTCAGAGAGGTGGATGAATAGATAGATGAGAGATGAATGATAGACAGATGAGTATTATAGATAGATAGATAGATAGATAGATAGATAGATAGAATGGATATATACAGGCAGAGTAACCCAGTGGCTACAACATTAATAAACTTGCAATAGCAGATAAACATGTCAAACCTTGACTAGGATGATTGAGATTCCTGTTTCAGGCTCCCTTGGACTTTTCCTTATGAAATTTTTCATATTTTATGAGAAATGTACATGAAGTTATCCTGGTGATTTGGAATTGCTTATCATGTAGTAGAAATTTCAAAATTATATTGTTCCAGTTTTGGAGTTCTAGATATCCATCTTGGTAATTATAGTCATTCTGTTTCTGTTACTTATTTTCGTATTTGGAAAAAATATTTTAATGCAAAGTAAGCCACATTCCCTAGAGATAAGATATAGTCTATCCAGTTTACACTCAGAGCAAGCAGTTCCTGGTTTCTTTCTTAGTGGAGAACCTGTTATATAACCTTTTCCCATGGGAAAATTAAAAACAATCCTGAATTCTGGAAAATAAGCCAAAAATTCATTTCTGCCTCAATTTAAATTATACACAATACTGATTTTTCTTGACATTGACAGAAGTCCTCTAACATTGGATTATTTTATTTTCAGGTGCTAGATTATAAACAAGAAACATAGACTTGGCCGAACTGTCCTCTTGTATATGAATGTTTCCAGATTTACAAATATGTGGGGCAGAGAGGAGGATGTGAGCAAAATATGACCCCTAATGAAGTCAATATTGGGCAAATTTTACATGTCTAGGATAGAAGGCTCAAACAGTTAAGTGGTCTCTACCTGAAAGACTGTGATTGGGAGAGAACATATAAAGTTTATATCCTTAGAACTTCATAATACATGGTCAAATGGAGGAGAATCAGGGGACTTGCACTGTCTGAGACCGGTTGTTCACAAGACCATATGAGAGGATATGGGGAATACCACCATGGAGTTCAACTGACATGCTCACTGGTTCTGAGAGAGCAAAGAGATGCCCTTTTCAAAGCAAGCACCGGTAACCATGGCAGAGATGAAGGTTTCACAAACCTAGCTTTGAAGTTGAGAAGAAGCCTCTGGAAACACTAACAGAATTTATGAATTCCGTCTTTCTGTCTGAGGTCAGAACTGCAAGACACAGTGTTGTGTGATTCACCATCACATACTGAGCAGTTATCACAAGCCAGGTACTATACTGAGTACTTGATTTGTGTTACCTTATCTCATGCTTTTAACTACCCAGTCAGTAGTGATGTTAACAATGCCAGGCAGCAAACAAGGAGAATGATTTTTGGGAACTGTGGAATTTTCAAGTAATCATTACTATCAACAGCTGCTAAGTTCTTGGCTGTTTAAGGTTCCCTATGAACCCTGAAGAGGAAGTAGAATGTGCTGAGTAGAATCTCAAATAGCCTTCAAGATCACCACTGCCTAGTGTACTCTCCTTGTACAGTCAGCTCTGCCTGAGTGTAGGTTTGACCACTGAACATGAGGTCATCACTCCCTTGAGGTTTTATGCTATGTGACACTTTGTCTTAAAAGTGGAAACATTCTGCTGTGTCTGAAGGACAGGGCTGTGTTAGGAGAACCTTAGGGACTAGGGCTTTCTGGGTCTTGGGGTGACTTCTCAGGGCTGAGAGTGATACAATCTGTCCACAACTAGGCAGATAGCAGTGTCTTCATTCCCAATGTAATGAATTCTGCCAACAATCTTGTTACCATGGATGAGGATCCAGAGTGTAAGAAGAAACTGTTGCTTCAGTTGCCACTGTCATTAAAACATGATGACACCATGAGCAGAGGGCCCAGCTACCTTGTCCACAGAAAAGTGAGAACAATAAATTTGAACGCTTAATGACACTAAATTTTCAGTAATTTAAAATACAGCAATAAAAAGCTAAAAGTACAGGTTTCTCCTATGCTTTTTCTGCATACATTTGTATGCATCTCCAGAGGTTTGTGTATGTCAGCGTATGTGTATCACAGCACTGTAAAATCCTCACGGTATATGGAATAAAAACAATTTTATCCTAGAACATAAATGTTTTGTAATCCAAGCTAGATTTTTTCATAATAAACATTTTTAATGCACATTTGGAAAACCCTGCATCTTAGCATATTTGCGTGTGTATGAATGTGCTTGTGAAAGAGACACACAATAAGATGCTGAAGTTATTTCATCAATTTTGCCAAGCAAAATTAACAAGCAAAATTAAGTATAACCCTATAATTATCGACCAAAGTTATCACAGTTGCCACATAGAGAAAGAAATCTCTGTCTCAGTTAAGTGCTAACTGTCTTTATACCTCATCTCTAGGAGAGAGGCCAATGGAAGCGGCAGTGACGAACGTGAGCCTTGTGACAACGTTCTTCCTCACGGGCCTTCCCCACACACCAGCCCTGGGCTCCACACTCTTTGGCGTCTTCCTGGTGGTCTACGTCCTCACCGTGCTGGGGAACCTCCTCATCCTGCTGGTGATCAGCATGGACTCTCGCCTCCACACCCCCATGTACTGCTTCCTCACCAACCTGTCCTTCATCGACGTGTGGTTCTCCACTGTCACGGTGCCCAAAATGCTGATGGCCTTGGTGTCCCCGGACGGCGGGGCCCTCTCCTTCCACAGCTGTGTGGCGCAGCTCTATTCTTTCCACTTCCTGGGGAGCACCGAGTGTTTCCTCTACACAGTCATGTCCTATGACCGCTACCTGGCCATCAGTTACCCGCTCAGGTACACCAGCATGATGAGTGGCAGGACGTGTGCTCTGCTGGCCGCTGGCACCTGGCTCAGTGGCTCCCTGCACTCTGCTGTCCAGACCACCTTGACATTCCGCTTGCCCTACTGTGGGCCCAACCAGATCCAGCATTACTTCTGTGATGCACCACCCATCCTCAAGCTGGCCTGTGCAGACACTTCAGCCAATGAGATGGTCATCTTTGTCACCATTGGGGTGGTGGCCTCAGGCTGCTTTCTCCTGATAGTGCTGTCCTACGTGTCCATCGTCTGCTCCATCCTGAAGATCCGCACCTCAGAGGGGAGGCACCGAGCCTTTCAGACCTGTGCCTCCCACTGCATCGTGGTCCTGTGTTTCTTTGTTCCTTGTGTTTTCATTTACCTGAGGCCAGGCTCCAAGGATGTCATGGATGGGGTTGTGGCTGTTTTCTACACTGTGCTGACCCCACTGCTCAACCCAGTTGTGTACACCCTGAGGAACAAGGAGGTGAAGAAAGCTCTCCTGAAGCTAAAAGACAAAATATCACTTGTTCCGAGTGAATAAACAGAAACACACATGCTCATTAAAAAAGTGACATAATTAGTTATCCATGTTCTCCATGTTTGAAATTATTCAAAATTGACCATTCAGTAATGTGTCTTTCAACAATTTCCTCATGAATTTTTTATTTATGTTGAACATATCATATTTTATTTTTCTATTTTCCTGCAATAGAATTCTTGTTACTTTTTTAATAATAAAAACATTGGGATTTGATTTTGATACAGAGGGTTCACTTGTTTATATAATTACATAGGGAATATGCTTTTTTTGTTGATTAGTTTTGCATACAATATTGGGAACCTACAGTCATGGAAAAACGCTTTAGGGGTATTAATAAATATTAGAGATCATTTCTTTCTGGCATACAGGCGTGAATACTTTTAACTGTTCTATCAGTTGTACAGTTTCCTTGTGTGTAAGCACACCAGGGTGGAAATTCCTCCTTTATAATAGCTACCCCCTAATTTTCTGAGTAGACTTTTGTCTCTCTTCACAGGGCTTCTTTGCCAAACTCTTGCAGTTTTTTGATCCTTTTGTTACTGGAAACAACAACCACCTTACGAGAACCCTGCAGGTTTTTATGTTGGTAAATGAGATTGGGTCCCAGACAACGTTATCAGTAGATAATATATTCTGATCTGGGGTTTTCTATTCTACCTAACAAGAAAGAAGTCCATTTATAGTTCAGAGCAGGCTTATGGTGGTTCTGCTTTCTATAGATGGTAGTGGCTGGCCGTGCTGTCCAGATAGTTCCTTCTGCCATCATCTTGGAGTCATGGAATTCACCTATACCAAGCTACAACCTGTCCAGAGCAGGAACAAACAACATTATAGACCAGGACCAATGGTACTTTTCATTTAGAAGGTAGAAAAGAAAATGAGTGTTCTTCAAACAGTCTCTTGAAAATGAAGTTAGAATATGAGTTGAATTAGCTGCACAAAGTTGAAAGCTATATCTAGTTTTTTTACAGTACACATTTTCCAAGAACTTTTGAAGACAATTCATGTAGATAGACAACTTGTTATCATGGGATTTCAGTGTATTTATTGTATAGAACAGACAGTCTGGCACAAACAAAGCACTCTAAAAATCCTAATGCATAGTTCTGTAACCCAGGCGCTGTACATCTTGTGGGCACCTCCATGTAATGGAATAGAAGTGCTTGGACTTCACATAAAACAAACACAAGTTCAAATCAGTTTAGAAGCAATTTTATGTTCTGTATGTGAATTTCCCACCTGTGAAAGTCTTTCTCAAAATACTGTTATTGGGATTAAATGAGTTTTAGAAGTAAAAGTGCACTGAGAAGGGTTAATTTATAACAAATTCTAATTAACAGTTTTAAAATTCAAATCTGTTACCACCTTCCAGGGAGTCTGATTTTGAGAGTCACATGTTGACAGGTTATTTCAATAATTTCCTCACCACTAACATAGTAATTGTACTGATTTTTCCAACTTTTGACATATGTTTGAGAAATGAATGTGTATATATATATTAGAATATGTTGTTTTAAAATAAACATTTGAAATGATTTTGGTAATAAAGCTAATTAAATCAATTGCCTTAATTGCCTCACAGATTACCTTTGTTGATTGTGTGTTCTCACTTGGATCTATGCTCTTAGCAAATGTCCACTACACGTATATTATTATGAACCACAATTGCCATCCTGTACATTAATTCTCCAGATCATATTCACCTTATAACTGCAAGTTTGCATCTTCTGACCCATATGTCCTCTTTCCTCTCAACCCTCATTTCCTGGTAACCAATGTTCAATTTTCTTACTAAGAGTTCAGCTCAACTTTTCCTTTTTAGTTCCATATTACAGTATTTGTCTTTCTGTGACTGATGTATTTCACTAAATATAATGTCCTCCAGGTTCATCCAGGTTGTCACAAATGACAGAGTTTAATTCTTTTTTTAACCCTGAAAAAAATTTATTGTATATATGTACCACATTTCTTTTTCTGTATATTGACAATAATACTGCAAGAATCTGGTGTACAGATATGTCTTTGACATATTGATTTGTTTTCCTTAGGATTGTATAATAAGGTGTGGAATTACTGCATCATATTGTAATTCTATTTTAATTGTTTATGTGAAGGAGAGAGTAATGAGAGAGAGAGAGAGAGAGAGAGAGAGAATGAATCTTCCATCCTCTTGTCCACTCCCCAGATGGCTTCAAGGTCTGGTTCTGGTACAAGCTGAAGGCAGAAGAAACTGAGGGCTCCATCTGGGTCTCCCAAATGGATGGAAGGAACACAGTACTTGGGCCATCCTCTGCTGCTTTCCTGGACATGTTAGAAGGGAGCTGGACTGGGAGCTGAGCAGCTGAGACTTGAACTGCCATTTTGATCGGGGATGTCAACATCGCAGGCAGCAGCTTTGCAGACCCTTAATCTATCATTTTTCTAAAAATCTGATACTGATTTCCTTAGTGGCTTCACTAATTTATATTCTCATCAACAGTGTACGAGAATCCTTCTTTTCCCACATTATTGCCAGAGCTTAACTTTTTGAATGTTTGATAATAGCCATCTGAACAGGTGATCTTTGTTGCACTTTTGATTTGTATTTCCCTGATTATTAATGACGTTGAGCATCTTCTCACATATCTTTTGACTTTTATATTTTTTCTTTGGCAGAAGCCTAATCATACTTTTTACTGATATTAATTAATCTATTATATAATTTCATTTATAGTGTTTATTCATATTAATGTAATGTTATAAATAATGCAGCATTAAGCTATTATGTGCCATATTGTATATAACATCGCAGTGTACTCCTGCTCCTCCCGCCGCCGCCGCCCTGAGTCACTGCCTGCGCAGCTCCGGGCGCCTGGCTCTCCCTGCCAGCCCCCGTAACGGATGGGGGCCTGGAAGGGCAGGGGAATGAGGAGCCGGCCGGGCGACCGGCGCGGAGGGAAGGGACACAGGGACGTAGGGACGGGAACCGCGAGAGCGGAGGCCGCTGGCTGCTTGGGGCCCCTCCGGGTCGCGCTGTGAGGCTGGAGCCGCTCGCGGAGTCTGGACCGTGTAACCTGAGAGGGGCCCTGGGACCGGCTTGGGGTGGCAAGGGGAGGGGACGCGCCTTGACTTTTGGTTGGGAATGTCTTTAGTGCTCCATTTTTAAAGGATACCTTTGAAAACCTTTTTTTTTTTTTTTTTTTGTTCATTTTTTTTTTTAAATTCAGTACCGTGAAAATCTTACTGGACTCTCCTAACCTGTGCGTTTTCTTCTGAGAAGTCTGCAGTTAGGCAGACTGGGGCATAGGTGCTTCTTTTCTCCTATGGCTTTGAGAATCTTCTCTTTATCATTACTGTTGGAGAGCGTGATTATAATATCTTGGGGTAGACTTGGTTGAGTTGACTCTGACTAGTGAACTGTGACCTTCCTGTGAATAGATAGTTGTATATTTCTCTATGTTTGGGAACCTTTCTGTTTATTTTTACTTTTAAAAATTTTGAAAATATAGAAATGTGGTTTTCTTTAAATCACTGATAATGAATTACTTTTAGTCATTTTATTAGTTATTTTTCATTACTTTTTTATTTTTTTATTTATTTTTATTTTTTTAACTTTTATTTAATGAAAATAAATTTGCAAAGTACAGCTTATGGATTACAATGGCTTCCCCCCCATAACGTCCCTCCCACCCACAACCCTCCCCTTAAGGAAAGGTATTTTCCTAGCCTATAGCAATCTACCTAAACTCACATGAGTCTTGGTTAGGTTCACTTTAGAATGTTCTCCTGGCTACTGACCCTTCATCTTAAATAGTCACTTTCTGTCTGATGTGTTCACAATATCAGATGTCACTTCTAAACAGGCGATTTTCTTTTGTGTTAATCAAGCTTCAACTTTCTTGATTTGAGTCCATAATAATTTCTATTGGGTAGAGATTTCCATGTAGATATAAAGATTTTTCTCCTTTTCAATTCCATTATTTGTCTCTTGTGAGCCAAGAATGGCCTAAAGCCAACACCTGAAACTTGGAGGATTTCCTTTGATCCTTCCTCTGATGTTTCTTCCTCATGTAATTGAAAAGGGTACAAGAGATGGATAAACAGAAAAGACAAAGGAGACAGGATGACTTGAAATGTTAGGGAATGATCTGAAATATTAATGGGATATATTAATACTTCAATAATGAACATTTACATCATCAAATAGTAATTAGAACAGCTTTCTTCTGTAATTACTCATGGTGTCATTATTAAGCTCTAAATGCTACCATTACTGTTTTCAAAAGTAAGAAAAAGAAGAGAAATCAGAATAGGGAGCATTGTCTGTCTCTCTGCCCTCCCACCTCCCCTACCCCATTTCTCTCTCTCCTTCGCAAATAAATAAAATAAGGTAAAATAAAATAAAACGAAACCAAAATAAATGTTTTCATTCCACCTCATCAATCTTTCATCACATTCTACATTATTTTGATTTCTTTTCTTGAGTGTCTCCTTGAAAGAGCAACCCTGGAGTACTGAACTAAGATGCTACCCACAGGGGATAATTATTAGTGGTGTAATTTCTTTGTTAACCTGTATTTCAAAATACTGTGTGAGTATGGTCATGGTGTGTCTGATCTACATTCCCTGAGTCAACTAGCAGTTGAAAGGGATTTAAAATAAGAAGTAAAGTGTTAAAGCATAGGGCGAATTAGATCAAATCTTGAATCAAGTGACTTTTATAAAAGTCCAGATGCTGATACTTGTTCATCAGTTCAGTTTTGCTCTTTCTCAATTAATCAATTGAATAATTCCTTCTACCATTTTAATTAGGTAACTATTATTTTAGGATCAGAAGATACAGAGCTTCAAGACAGCATTTATGTTCCAGAATGCCAGTGTCTAATGGAGAACACACAAGTAATCAGAGGACTTTAGTGTCATGATGTGTTAAGGGCTGTTCTAAAAATCCATGGAAAATGCGTATTGTAAAAAAAGCTATGTATGGATTCAAAAATATTTCAGCACCAAAGAAGCTTATCTTTCAATTCCATTTTTATATGAACTGATTAAAGTAACCTTATATATGTGAGATGCCATCTAGCCTAAGTTAAGCAGTGAAGTGAATCACCTTCTGAAAGTAAAGAGAATTAACATGCAAATAACAAAGCCCTGCCCTAACTATGTAAGTCATAATAATCCACACACATAGCT